TACCAGAGAGACCTTGTATCCCTCTATGTTCTTCTTGCGGAGGGATCCAAAAATTGCAGTCCCGTTTTTGGAAGTCTGTATAGAAAGGATTCTACCATATAATGGTCCATATCTGGGAGCTTATGTATGGAGGCCCCTCATGTAATCTCTAAAATCTCCAGAAAATTACTCCGGAACTGCCAATCATCCACCCTGCAGCAAGACCTAGCATGCTTTCAGGGGCACTGCGGTTATGCAAATGGTACATCTCCCTCTCACAAAGTAGCAGCCCCACAAGCCAATGATCACCCAACACCATCCCAACACACCAATACGAATATCATGATACGAAGTAGGTTCCCATTAACCCCCAAGGCCCCCAAACCCTGGACCCCACATCCTAAGATCCCCTTGACCCATTCCCATGTGCCCGGCCCACAAAAAAAAGGGCATTGGATGTTCGGCCATCGGCGCCTCACCCAGGTTCTTCATGGACTTGAAGGCCTTTGCAGCTGAAGTCCTTGGTCGCATTTTGAGTGTAGGGGTTAGGGTTGAAGGCGTTGGGTTCAGGATTTAGTGCAGAGTTTAAGGATTGCGGCTTAATAGGTCTCAGGGTGTAGCGCTTTGGGTTTGGGGTTCAGGGTGTGAGGTTCAAACACTGAAGTTCCGATAGCATCCGAAAACAACACGTGCGGCGCGCATACCGGAACAAGAACTGAAGACCCACTTCACATAGACTAAGCCGCATCTGTGGTATTCTCCCTTCACGGGATTCTCTTGGGTTGGAAAAGGTCAACCGTAAGAGTATTACCACTCAGGCAGGCATGGGAGTTTCAAAAAAACAGTGGCCCATAGCCCTATAAGAGGGAGTATAATCTCTTGGGGTCTAGATTGGGGGCCCCAAATTATGGAAACCGCCGCATCCTAGAAACCCTTTCACGCAACGACCAGCGGCGCTTCAAGAACCAGAGTTAGCATCTCTGCAGATAATCTACGCTGTTGTAAACTCCGCACTCGCATCCTATTATGCAGCCCTGCATTTGAATCCCAATTGTGATCAGCATTGCACAATCCTCTCCTCTAACGTAATTTCTAACCAAACAGTCCCCCTTTAGTAGATAGAATATAGCGTATGTGGGGGTCTTGTTCCATATTCTATCTACTTAGGTGGGACTATAGCTCCAAGAGACCATTGATTTTCAATTTGATTTTCCATCTCAGCTATAGTCTAAACTCCTAGTATCCCCCTTAATGAGCTTATAATACTCCCCTATATACAATTCGGCGATATCTCCCCCTTCAAGGAGTTTAGACTTTAGCTCATCTGGCGCTGGCTCTGGGGGCAGGGACAGCTTGTCTGACTCTTCGTCATCGTCATCGTCCTCTTCCTCGCCCTCCTCCTGATCCTGCGCGCAGTTGTACCCTAGTCTGCCACTCAGAGGGGCCATGCTGCTGCAACATCTCCTGGTTGACCGCTAACTCGGGAGCAGCACCTGGCAAAAGGGAACGGAGGCTTGCTATGCTCCAGCACCAAGAGACATGGAGCATACAAGCGACCATGATAAGAGTTCATTGCCAACAGACTATGAGACTATGACGTGAAAATTGTTGGAAAAAGACCGTTGATAGCAGCAGCGCAGCTTTTGAGCTGTCATAAGCGGGAGTTGGCATAAGAAATCCCAGTTTGCTACAAGTGGCTGAACTTGCAGGAAAGGACCACTAGTAAGGAAAACGTGTCACGGTGGCCCTCTCTTGAATGGTTTTCGAGTATTCTTGTTCTTTCAGGACAAGTTCAGATGGTGTCGCTTGGAGCAACACACCACTTAGTTTGTCATGCCTTTGCGTTTGCATGGGCTTTTCCACAGGGTTTGAGGACAGACCTGTCATTTGGGTCTCCGCGTCGCCCTTGCCCTCAACCCCTGGAAACCTAAGCCACCATTCTACTATTATGTACGTGGAATGCCCTGTATCCTAGCGCAAACTTATGATGCCCGCAGGACCCCGCAGGTCAGCAACTCAGCCTACGCAATCGTGCCGGAAATTCGCGCGTGAAAGCGCACTTGCAGCAAACAAAGATGTTCCAGTCTACTTGAACGTCGCTTGCACGTACCAGTGAACAGTGAACAAACAGCGACGTTGATTTCATCCGAAGATGAAAGACAGGTTCAGTAACGAGCACACATGCGGAAAGGGTCTCTATTTATGTGAAATGATGACCCAGGTCATTCAGATCTTGATGAGGGCTATGAAGGGCCACCTTACGCAAGACCTTTCCAAGGTCCTTACATCTATCTTTGCATGTGGCTAATAAGCTTCTAGGCGCCTTCGTCAGCGTCTTCTTCATCTGAGTTGATGATTTTGCCTCCGTGGTCCTGCCAGAGGTTTGGGGCAAGACCCAGTCAACCAACTTGAAGCAGCACTTGTCAGCCATCCGTTCAAGTCTTACATGATCCGACTGATAAATCTTCTCACACAAATAGTAATCACGTCGTTATCCCCGGCCCAAAGCAAAATCCAGAATGCCTGTCATACTCCAGCTATCGGAAAAGCCCCGAGAAATTCTGGGCTCGGCACTGTGCGACAACTCTGGGGTTGAGCTCTGTCCCAGAGTTGCACACTTCGGGGCCACCATGAGGCTCTGCGAAAAGTGCTGGAGCACCAAGTGCGAGCACAAAGTAGCCAGAACAATTGCTAAGATAGATGGTGAGGATGATCAGAGTCAGAGAATCTCGCAAGCTTGAGACAGGCAAGGCCCCGAAGAGGAAACAAAACACACCCCCGATATGAACCAGCGAAGCCATAATAATCCCAATAATGACAATTGTAATAGTACCAGTTTATGCCAGTAAGACTAGTAGTAGGACACTAAAATTCTAGCAGTAATAGTAGCAGATGATCCAGGGAGTGCCCCAATCCTCGGAGTCCGAATCGTCGTAATTTCCTGGAGGACTAAGGAGCAGAAAGTGCGTTCGCACTGGCAGCTTGGGTGTTGAAAGTGTTCAACTGTAGCCGGCAGAGGCGTGGCTGGTACAGTACCGGTTTTTGTTTTCCTCAAGGAACCATGACTGCAGGCTTGGGGCGAAGGGGTGCAAGTTTGAGTGCCAGGGGAACCTCAATCCAACCCCCATCTCCAGCTGCCATGCCCCATATCTACTTTTGATTGTTCAGCAGTTTGTCTGACTAAGATGTCCTTCACCTCATATGTTTGGGCAGACAAGATCATGTGCAAATTGTGGGTCAAGGCGTTGGACCTACCTTGCGCAATCACCCAGTGGTGTTTAATTACTCTTCTGGCCGTGGATTGGTCTGTTAGCAGAAGTCCTAGAGTCCTAGAGATGACAGGTGAGTCCTTACCGTTGATCCAGAATCCCACAACCCTATTATGTTGGGGATATGGTATATTGGGGTGATATTGGAAATCATGGAAAAGAAAATGGAAACTACCATCACAATTACCCCGTGATTCCAAGCCCCTCTGCCTAAACCCATCCCAGGGCCTCCGAGCATGGTCACGGCTTCACAGACATTGAAACCGACCCGGCGCTCACTTTGTCCGGTGTGCTGTGGATATATGCTGAGTGCTTTGCTGATCTGGGTACGGCTATGAAACTAGTTGGCATGGCTACTTGTCTTGCGGGTAGCTGATGATACTAGACATTGTTTTGGCGTGCACTGTGCTTCTAGCTTTGCGTGATGTGCCACCTTTGCATGTTTGTTCTTACTGTTCATTGGTCATGTGCTCTCCTAGCAAGTATGGAGCAAGCACCAGGAAAGCTGATATGCGATTGTAGATCGGGGTGATGTCAAGCACTGTTGAAGACCCAGGTCTCATCAACGAAGGCCATGGAGCCAAGAAAGCCTGATGACCTACAGGGCCACTTCTTGGGAGGCTCCTTCCGAGTAACCTGTTTTTGTATGTTTGCCGGTCGCATTTGTGCAACTGACAATGTTGTACATCCCAAAGGAAACAAGGAAGGCCTCCATGCTTGTGCAGCTCTAGGAACCTCTGTCTTTGGGTTGCCTTATAGAAATGCCCTGCCTTCCAGGCTAACCGGGCTCAACATATTGCCCGAAAATCACATTTGCACCCCAAATAGGCGCTGCAAAGGCTACTTTCCTCTTTATGGGGTTCCCCACTTGCTTTTGGGGCAGCGTAGCTGTGCTTGCTCATGAGCGCCACCCCTTGACACCAACACACTCTAACCTAACGCCCCAGACCAAAATGACTAAACAAGGTGCCAAATCCCAATCTTGACACATGGCAAGCAAGCAAGAACCCATGAAATGCTTGCTGTCATTGCAGCATGACCCCTGCATGAACCCCCGACCCTGCATGGCAATCCTTTTTGCTGTAGAGGAATGATGCTGGGCATCTGCCATCCGGCGCTCAGTCAATCCTAGCCATCCACAGGAATGCTTCTGCCCCACAGCAGAGGACAGGAAGACCACGCAGGACAGTAGGACGCTGTACAAATTCCTCACAAACTTAGTCTTTGGGATGATCCCTTGCAGTATCTGCATGCAATGTCATCCTCTGCATCTGTAGTACCCCTTCCAGAACCGCTTGCATGATCTTAGTTGAGGGAGCCCTTCCCTTCACTTCTCTCACTTTAGCATGCACGACCCCCTGGCATAGCTTTTCCACGTGTCAAGGCATCTCCGGTAGAAAGATCGAATACTACGGTGTAGGGCACACAATTCCAGCTCAGGGCGCTTCTGTGACTGCGCAGTTTCATGGGTCAAGGTCTCTGAGAGTGGCTGCGACTACCCTCGTCGTGACAAAACATGTTTCTTTTCCACTCCCTGCACGAGACCCGAAGGACCTCAAAAAAATGAATGACATGTCTGCCTAGGATGCGGCAGGCTCTTGCTGCCACAGAGGATTTGTGACCCATCCTTTCCTCGGACAAGCCGGCTGCACATTGGATCCTAACCGAGTGCAGCATGGAAGCTACCTGAGGAAAGATTTACGTAAAACTACCGTGACTTTACAACGGCTTTCGTGTGACTTTACAACGGGCTCAATCTGTTTGCAAGATGCCGTGGATGCGGAACTCACAAATGACCTGGGTGTCGATCTCGCCATTCAAAACCTGCAGCTTGAAGCACTTTGCCAGGCCCGAAAACTGGCAAGGAAGGACCTTGTTTGTGGGGATGTCTTGTCCCTTGGAAACATAAGCAGTGTGCCAATCAGCTCCGTCTTCCGAACAAAGGATCTGAAACGACACGCTCCCCGGAATCTTCGCGATGAACGAGAAGCCCATGACGTGAACGTGGGAGTGAACAAGGTCCCATCTCATCCAGCCAGGGCCCAGGCTTTTGTTTCCAACCATGCTGCGCGCGAAGTTCATCAACCAATTTGCTGGTCCTCCAGACTCCTCAGAGCCTTGCTCCCGCCCGAGCGTCACCAGCACCCACTCGCCCACAAAGGTGCCCTTCCTGCCACCCTGATAATAGCGAGACCAGAGGGTTCCCAGCACGTTCTTGGAGTGCTCACCGGCCTTCCGCACAGTTGCACGCTGAATCTGGAAGTCGATGAACGTCTGGAGCCCATCGCCTTCATTCTTGCCCCAGCCTCGTAGCATCGTGGCAAGGTCTGCATCCTCCATACATAGCAAGCCCGAGAGCAGGATCTCTTCAAGCAGCTTCCGGCTTAGCTTTGGGCGGCACTTGAGGGCCTCTGCGGGATGAATGAAAATAAACTCCAGCGCTTTCATACGCAAAGCCGCCACAAAGAAGTGGTCTGCAGCTGCAAAGACCTCGCATGCTACCTCAGGAAGTGTCTTTGCAACTGTCTGGACGCACAGCTCGTGCAGTTTGCTGACCTGGTACCTGTCTGCCATGGCGGCCACCTCAACAAGCCTTTGAGGAGACCCTTCAATTGTTCCGGAGTACAAGAAGCGCAGGAAAATCCTCACAGCATCAGCCGAGAAGTCTTGGATGACCACCTGCCCTTCCTTGGATTCCATGTAGCTGTCCGAGCTCATCCAGCTCTTGAAAACAGGAGACCAGTGCGAGAGCAGGGAAGCCCATACCTTAAACTCGGTGCGCTTCACCTTGACCTCGTCACCATCCCCACCCGTAGGTAGGGTCTCCTCCGAAGCTGTAGACGCGTTCTGCGACCCTGTCTCTGAGCCCTCGGCAGTGCTGGCAACATCTTCTGTGCTGTTCTTGCAGCCTGCATTGTCCCGCAAATTCTCCTCCACCACCACGGTGAAGTTGCCATCTATGCCCATGCACATCTCCAACACAGAAGATGCGGACCTAAGATCCTGCGCTTTCACCGGAGCACTGGATTCTAGAGCCATGCTGTAACTGTAAGCTCCAGCGCGGGAGATGCTTGCTAATGCTGGTCCTTGAGGCGCATCAGGCACGATGCAAAAAAGTGATGGAAGGTGAGTTCTAGGGCATTGTCAAGCATAATCCTGGCACACTCCACAAGAGGGAACAGAAAGAATGCCCAGATACCTTTGCACACCAAATGTTGAACGCCAATGGCGTAAGTTCAGGATACCTCTGCCAAAGTAGCTGATGGTGGTTGTTCGTTTAGGAGAGCACGGATGCTGCCTCAGTCCCTGCCCCAAGGCTAGACATCTTTCTTGACAACTGGCGTGGGCAGGTTAAACGACTAACAGATTGCCCCTTGACCACGCTCCCGAACCTTTGACTACTTCAGGTTTCCAGTGCCTAGCAGGGAGCAGATGAGTGATAACCTACACACTAAGCCTGAGCGCAAGTATTCTTACCACAGGCCCTGGCCAGTAGGATTCAGCCCAGCTGCTTCGTGGTTACGCTTACGCTTGCCGTTGCAAGACATGCCTGGGACCCTCAATCCAAAGCAGGCGCCTCGCAGCAGCATCACTTCCACGCACCCATCCAGGACCGCCCAGCCCTCTAAATTTCTATTGGCCCAACGCAGCCTGTTGTTCGCACTCAGAAGATAAGGGGAAACGAATGCAAAAACAGCTATTTCTTAACATCGTGAAATGCAAGGTGCCATCGTGCCGGAAAAAAAAACTCGCATGCTGCATACCTCATTTACAAACTACCCTGTGGCTGCAGTATTGCTTGGTCAAGAGGTCCTGAGCCAGCAAAGCCAACGCTAGGGCGCTTATGACAGCTTTGGGGTTGAAGGAGGAGGGATGCCGAAAACGTACATTCTGTTCTGCACATGCCTAGGCTCTGCTTGCGTTCGCACAGGAAGGCCAACTTCAGAGCAAAGATTTGGCAACTGGGGCCTGTACTCTAGTTGTCATCATCCAGAAAGGACTTATCTTCACTGCCGTGTTGGGCAAGCATGAAAGCATCCAACAAATGAAGAGAACTCCGTAGGCAAGATGCTTCGAGGGCATCCGGCTTGAGAAAGCCTGAAGCCTGACAAGGCCTCTCCCAAATGAGATTGGAAAGTCGACAAGTAGGGCATCAAGAACCCTCATCTAAGCAAGGTTTGTCCTGTAGTTCCAACTTGGGGTCCAAGTCCTCCAGTTTTCAACCTTCAGCTAATTACTGGCCAGGGTGTATGGCTCAAGCCCCCCTTGCGTGTCCAAAAGCTCGTGCCTTTTACTCGCGAATCCCGGCATGTGAGATATTGTTTTGGGGGGAAAATGCAGATGTCTTGGCCCCTCATGTTGGGAGACATCCATTCGAAACAAGACCTCATCCTTGTCCCCCCAACATCCTTGAGCCTTTCATCCCTTTTGAACGTTAGAGTTATTGAGCTCCTACAGGAATGAATACCTTACAGTACAGATTCCTTGACCTTCTAGGATAATGTAAGCTAATTCAGCAAACACTACGCCCTTGACCCGCAGGGGTTTCTTCAAATTTAGGGTCCTCGTTTAGGAGTCATTTGGATAGGTCCTTTCCGGTCTTGACGATTTATGAAGGAAGACTTATGCAGTGCAGATCGCGGCCTCACAGTGTTTAATTCCCGCAAAGGACATTCATGTGTAGGCACGCTCAACATACACTGCACCAAACTTACGCTGGAGCCCCAAGGGGGAGCCACAAGGATTACCTTCCTGGTAAAAGAGGCCTCCATCAGGTTCCAGCTTGTTTTGGGCGCAACGTGGCTGCGCTTGCTCATCAGTGCTACCTCTTGAAACCAACGGGACCCAACTCGAGAACTTGTACACAAATCACTAGCTAAGCCCAAATCCCTGTAGGTGACAAGACTTCCAGAAAGTGTTTGCGATAATGACAAAACTGCAGGACAAAAAGACACCTTACATGAAGCCCTGATCATGTATGGGCCTTGGTAGTTTGGTTCACCTACGAGCTTTTCTTTGTTGTAGACGAAGACCCTCCCAAACATGAGGGGTGTGCTTGAAGGTGCCCTTCTGACAACGACAGGACGGCTTCGGTTACAGCATGGGGGCCATTAAATTTCCCACGCAAACACACGGCAGTACACATGAAGGAATGCACCGTTTCAACTTCAGTTTTTGGATGTAGCTCATGCACCCACAGGTACTATGTATCGCAGCCCGAGTGGCATACCAACACGGGACTGTACCTTGCTGAATCTGGCTTTTGGTTAGTTAGGAATGAAGGAATGGAAAAGAAAATGGAGACCAATATAATGGGCTATATAGGGACTACTATAACAATGAGGATCCCTTCCTTCCTAGCTGCCTGGTTAACCAAAGATAAGAACTGCGAGATCAATTTCCAGGAACATCACTTCAAGCAATGGCTTACCCTGGTTCCGATCAATCCCAAACCCATTTGGACAACTTGCGCGACTTAGGGGCCTTCTTCGGCAATGATGTGGCAGGTAACAGCTTCAGGTGCAAGATGAGACCAGAATGCGGAAACTATATTTGAGACGCAATATCAACGACTCTAGAACTAGTTTGACATGCTGTGCGTTTGGAGAGCGTGTGGTCAAGGGCTCCAGGAAACGATGCACCTCGACAGCCCTGCCCCTGATGCGCCGGCAGGCCCTAGAACTTTTCTCGATTCCAGGGTCATCTGAAGGGTGCCAGCTACCGACCGTTCAAGCATCAGGTCATCCGCCTGCAGGAGCATGTAACACAAAGATGCTGACTCCTGCAAGGGAATGCGATAATCCCCGCAGCACACGCTCTAACCCCTGAGTCAGACAAGTGCAAAATAGGGCTTGGTGTCTTATCAAATGTGGCTTTCCGAGCGACTTCATGTATATCAAAACGTTCAGGACATGGCAACGATTGAGAAAAAGAAGGCAAGGTCTCGACTTACACATTGGCTCAGAGCATAGCAACTTCAGCGCCGCCTCAAAAAGCTGAAACAGAACTACTCTGTACTCTTTACCCTGCAGATCTGATTTTGGATCTGCTTCAGGAGGCTACGTACAACCTAAAACCCCTCAACCCTCCTTCTAGCACTGTTGGCCTGATGCCAACCCAATCTGCACCTCACCTGAGCAGCAGGGTTGCAGATGTTCGTGGGGGGCCGCTACAGAAGGTGGCGCGTTAGGAATTGAGGAACCGGTTTTTGGGACGGTTTTCCTTACAGAGCTTTTTCAGGCAGTCTATGGGTTGGGAATCCAGGGTGGAGGCGAGAGGCCTCAGGCACCAGGTTCAAAAGAATTGAAGCCCTTGCGGCTTTGTTCTTTGTATGGCATCTTCCCACAAGGAAACTGAAAAGGACTTGAGGAACGAGATCGGAATGTGTAATGAATGCTCGGGGAGGGGTGTGCTATCTAGGGGAAGCCATGAAGGCCTGTGGGCTACGTGTGGAAGAATAGGGCTTGTTCAGGGCGGGTAGGCCATGCTCCATTGAATAATGGCTTGTGGAGCACCCTTCCTGATAGGTCCTGACAACTACCCTTGCAAGATGTTCACGACAGGGTTTGGGAGGACAACTAGAGCCTGATGTTAGCCTGGGGCACATAATCAGAATCATCACCGATCTCAACCTCCAGCAGCCAACAGGCAGCCCAATATGCATCAAAAGAGAAACCTTCGGTGAGTTTGAGTAGGGTAGGCAAGTGGTGGGCAAGTGATGGATGCGTCGACTCTTGGGCTGTATCCCAACCTGCGCTAGTGTTGTGACATCCTGCACGTAAACACTTGACCAAGGCCATAGCCGGAGAACACCCTACAAGCTTCGGCAGAATACGGTAGTCGGAACTCTGCGTCAAACCACCTCCATTGTTTACAAGTCTACAGCCTAGTGCTTGCGAAAGACCAGAATCACCATCTGAGTTGCGGGCCTTTCTTTGGCTTGTGTTGACAAGGCCTTGCAGCTTCCAATCAGCTCGGCATCGCGCAAAGCTCCCTTCTAGGCCTGGACGCCTTATTCCTCAAGAAGTCTTACTTGCACAGGCATGCCGATGGGTAAGTATGTTGTGAGCGTAGACGGCGTAGTTCACGATTAAGCTGTTCATCAGGTTCAAGGTGTTGAGAGGTATGTTTCTATGTGCCCTGGCTGCCCAAGAGAAGTTCTGGGGCCTCTACAAGAAGCGCTCTTGCAAAGAATTCCCACTCATGGGCCTCGTGGAACAGTCATGCAGGAATTGCTTGATGGCAAGGCTTTGGAGGGCTTGTGCGAATGTCCAGGATGTGACGAACACTTGGCATCATGCTCTTCTCAAACACTCATCTTGGCCAGGTAAGCGTAGTCCACAGGGCTCTACAACTTTCTAGGGTTGAACTGAACGAACTGGAGACTGGACAGTCCAACTCAATGAAGCTGGCTTGTGGGGCAATGTAGGAGTCTGCTATATGTTGCGCCTACGATTTGAAGCATGTGGCATCCTGCAGAATTCCTAGCTGAGCATACCGTCTGATGTGGCAGGCTTGTGCTGCCTTGAAGGACTGACTGTGTGACATGTAATGTCACATCTCATCTGTGTTCATGTCCCCGCACCAGCTCACGGAGTATCTCAGACGAGCACGCCTGCGCAATGAAAGTGCCTTAGCTTGTCTGCAAGATGCCATGGATGCGGAACTGGACATCTGGGCCATAAGAAGGAAGCTGGCCAGTCAGAACCTCCAACTTGAAGGATTTCACCAGGTATGGGGGCTGTTCGCAAGGCAGCACGGTGCCCGCCTCGAGTTCTTGTTTGCTTGATGTAACGGCTTGGTGCCATGCAGCTCCATCTGCGGAACAAAGGACCTGAAATGACACGGTCCGCGGAATTTTCTGCGAGAAGGAGACGCCCATGATGTGAACCTGGGAGTGAGGGAGCTCCCATTTGATCCAACCTTGGTCGAGGCCATTGACGTCGCCAGATTGAGCAAGTGGCAGCAAATAATTGCCTGGGTTCTCTGAGCCCATGCCAGCCTGCTGCGGCCCAAGCGTCACCACCACCCAGTAGCCTACAAATGCCCCCTTCCTCCCGGCCCTCTCATAGCTCTCATAGCGTTTCCAGAGGGTGTTGAGCACATGCTCAGAATGCTCGCCGGGCTTCCGTGTCATGGACGGGATGCGAGAGTCAATGAACGGCTGGAGTCCATCGTCTTCGTTCTTGCCCCAACCTCGTAGCATCACTACGAGGTCTGCATCTTCCACACACAGAAGACCCGAGTCAAGGATCTCCTCAAGCAGCTTCTGGCTTAGTTTCGGACGACGTTTCAAGGCCTCGCGGGGATGGATTAATATGTTCTCCATGGCCTTCAGACGAAGAGCTGCCACCTGGAAGTGGTCCGAAGCAGCGAACACCTCACACGCATCTTGCGACGTCATTGCCTTCGTGACCGTCTGGAGGCAAAGCGTGTACAGCTTGTTGACCTGGTACTTGTCTGCCAAGGCTGCCACCTGCACAAGTGCTCCAGCAGAGCCTTCCACCACCCCGCAGTACAAGAAGCGTAGGAAAATCTCCACAACATCGGCTGAGAAGTCTTGGATGACCACCTGCCCTTCCTTGGATTCCACATAATTGTCGGAGCTGACCATCTTCTCGAAGACAGGGGACCAGTGTGAGAGCAGGGAGGCCCAGACCTTGAACTCGGTGCGCTTCACCTGCGTCTCAGAAGCATCAACATCCTCAGTCTCAGACGGCTCGTCCTGGGAAGCTGTCTCAGAGCCCTTGGCTCTGCTGGAACCATCTCCATCACCGTTCTTGCTGCCGGTGTTGTCTGGAAAGTGCTCCTCCACCACCACGGTGAAGTTGCCATCCTTGCCGATGCACCTCTGCCACACACAAGATGCAGAGCTGAGATCTGTTGCTTTCATGAGAGCCACGGCTTCTAGTAAAGTGCTACAAGCTCCGGCTCGAGAGATGCCTATCCTTTCTGGCTCTTGAGACGCATCAGGCGTGATGCCGGCGAGGGCGAGTTCCAGGGTTTGTTCAAACATACTGCTGGGACATGCCAAAAGAAGGAACAAAAAACGGCCTCATTCACTGCCACTGGCAGGGTAGCAGATGCGTGCATGGGACCCATCACCTCAGCCCCTCTATGCAGGGTGATGAATAATGAGGGAACACTAATGCGATGCATCATTCCCAGCAACGGGCGCGGACCGGTTTAATGATCAAGAACATCGCCCCTTGATCCCGCTCCCTAAGCTTTGACTACTTAAGGGGTTCCGTGCGTAGCGGAGAGCAGGTGGGTGCTAGCTTACATACGAAGGTCGAACCCAAGTATTCTTAGCCCAGGCCCTGGCCATGATCTACATGCTTACGGTTACGCTTACCAACCTTGCAGGACTTTGCAGGAAATACCTGATGCCGTCAATCCAAAGCAGGCGCCTCGCAGCAGCATCACCTCCGGGCACCCATCCAGGACATCCCAGCCCTGTGATATGTGAAGGCCCCATCCCAGCATGCTGTTCGTACACACATCTCTATTGTTTCTGAACGAGAATAAAAGGGAAACGAAGGTCATTGCTGGATCCTTCAAAGAGCATTGCGACACAGAAGCTGTTACCTGAGCTGTGAGCTTGCTAACTTCTACGTGCTACGGTGCCGCATTCCAAGCTCCGCATGCCTCATGACAAACTAGCCTCAAATTGAGTGACTAATGTATTGCTTGATCGTGAGGTCTTGAGCCAGCAAAAGCAATGCCAGCACGCTTATGGCAGCTTTGGGGGTTGAAGGGGGAGGGATGCAGCAGGGCGCAAACGTACATTCTGTTCTGCACTTGCCTATACCTTGCTTGGGTTCGCAGAGGAAGGTCAACTTCAGAGCAAAGATTTGGCAATCAGGACCAGATGACCAGACTGAGCCGCTACTCATCCATCGCTCATTTGGGTTAGCAGTCCCCAATGCTCAGGCCTGTATTCTGTGTGTAATCATGATGGAACTGGCATACCTGGAGAAACACTACGAGAACTGTTTAGGTGCCTCGAGGGCTTCCAGCTTGAGAAAGCCTGGAGCTCGTGCAGGATACAGGAGGTTTGAGATTTCATGGGCCCTCGTGAATCGGCAGACATGGCAGACGACCATTCTGAACAAGGCCTCTTCTTGGCGCCGCCCTTTTTTCGCTTAGCAGGACTCGAAGGATCGCTGGGCACTGCCCACCCCCCGAGCTGCAAACTCGAAACCCAACATCCTTGGGCCTGCCATCCCTTTTGAGCCTTAGAGCTACTAAGGAACCAGGATGAAAGGCAAATTCTGCCATCACTACACAATACGCCCTTGACCTGCATGCTCTTGCTTTTAAGATTCAGGGCCCTTGTTTAGGTAGGTCCTTTATTGTGATGTGAGGAGGATCTCCTTTCTTGGATGATTAGTCATAGTGGCACACGAGACCCAAGAACTTTGGTGTATTGCTAGGAATTCCTACGTAGGCCTTATTGTGCGACACTATGGTTTTGTCAAACCCGATTTCAAGGTCGCAGGTGCGCGAGCGCAGCTCAAGTTCGAGTCACTGCCCTGTACCACGCCTGATGCCCCAACTCTGCCAGCAATATGGGGACCTTCGTCCCGTAATAAGCATTCTCTTTAAGTCTCTTGCTGGTAAAGCGCTGGAGAGCATGGTTAGGGCTGAAAGGAGACGCAGCCCAGAATCGTGCATGAATCCTTGACACTGAAAATTTCCCTAAGCCCTCAGTTTGGACCTCACCCATCAACAAATTGCTATCATGAGTATTCTTGTTCGGGTTATTCTTATTACTACTACGCTCGCTTTTGCCATGACTATGACTACTACTATTACTTCTACCATTCTACTGAAGATCTCTACACCAAGCCAAGAGATGCCCAAAAGGATCTTCAGGACTTAGATGATACTAGAAGAATGTGATATGTAGGGATTATCCAAGGATTTACAGGGGATGGAAACTGTAAGGATTTGGAATTTGGGCAGCGAAAGTAGGGCACAAAGATGCCAATGCTGGAGTTGCAGGATGGAGCCACTTTCTTCCGCCTCTAAGTTTAAGGAATTTCTCGGGGGGGCCAAGAAAGCCATTTTAGAGAGAGATGTAGGGAAGCACAAGTTGAAACAGTCCAGTCTGCTACACTAGGGGTTGAGGGTTCTATAGGACCATGATGGAAAAGAATGTGAGAACTATTATCGTATTTTGTGTGTACAATTTAGGACTCCAACAGCGGCGGCGCTCTGACTACACCTTTGGCGACTCGCCCGTCAGATCGCTGGCGGCCATGGAGTACCTGAACAGCAGGGATTGGCAAGAAGTTCCCTTACATGGGGGAGAATGCTGTAATGACTTTATGAACATGTGTTTCCTGATCATATAGTGATCCAAGAAACTTCGATCAAACCCCAAAGAAGTTTCCATGTCCAAGCGAACGTCACAAACCCTATCACATCCCAGCTTCCATTTCATTGTTCATGCCCGTTTCCACGTCATTCTCGACTGTCTAATTGCCCCCAAGCCCTTGAATCCTACACCCTAGGCCCAAATCTTAAGCCCTGCGTAACTCCCACAACCCCTTTTGGGGCTCCCTAGCAGGCTTACAACTTGTTTTTTCCTTACCTCGATTTTGCTTAATTGGCCTCAGAGCATGACATCTTCACTCCGTAAAATTCATTCCTACAGTGTGCATTGCTGATGCGAGGTAAAGCTTTAGGGTTTAGGGTTGCTTGCTTTTCCGGATTTGGGTTTCAAGTTTGGGATCCGGCGTTGAGGGTTTGGGGTTTGGGACTTGGGGCTTAGGGTCACTGCGTTACAGTGAAGATCTTCTACAAGCTCAAGTCAAGCAGTGTAGAGATTCTTCCGCATCTGGCGTGGTCCTGCAATGTAAATCTCATCTTTGTAAGCCCAAAGACCTTCAGAATGCTCTTATGCAGTCACTCCTCAGTCTGTCTGGAAGATGCCATGAATGCGAAAGGAGCAAGAAGACACGGAGGGCAGCTGGCCAGCCAGAACTTGGAGCTTGAAGCACTTCACCAGGCCCTTGGGCTTCTGGCAAGACAGCAACGTGCCCGCAGGGATGTCTTGCGGCTCTTTTACCTGTCCTTTGCAATCCTGTTTTCCGTTTCCCTGCCACTCTGAAGCATGAGCCACGTGCCACTCAGCTCCATTCTCCGAACAAAGGATCTGGAATGAGATCCTCCCTGAGATCAGCATTGAAAAAGAGAAGCCTGTGACGTAGGCCTGCGAGTGGGGAAGCTCCCATTTGATCCAACCACAGCCAAGGCCAGCAACCAATCCGTCCTTGGCAATCTTCATCAGCAATTTTGGATCAGCTGTCACACGCGGAAGCCTAGGAAAGGACCTGCGTCCGGATAACGGGAATACAGGGTGCTCAATATATTCTCCGCATACTGACCAGGCTTTCGACCCGGCATTCTCATCTGAACCTGGGTCGCAACAGCTTTGATGATTGGCTGGAGCGAATCTTCCCTCTTGTCCCAAGCTCCAAGCATCTGCAGCAAGGCAGCGTCCGTGATGCAAAGGAGGCTGAAATCCAGGATTTCCTTCAAGAGTTCGGGCTTGATTGCTGGCCGCAGTTTCAGGGCCCTGTCAGGATTTATCCAGATCTTTTCTAAGGCCTCCATGCGCAAGTCAGACATCTGAAACGTATCTGCCGCTTCAAAGACCTCGCAGGCCACCTCCGGTGTAAGATGTTTCTTGAGGGCATCGAGGGACTTCTCGCGCAGCACTTCCACCTGGTACTTGTCTGCTAGAGCAACCAGCTCAACTAGCACTCCGGGGGAGGCCTCTACAACTCCAGTGTACAAGAACCGCAAAAAAATCTCAACGGCAGGGGCAGAGAAGTCTTGGATGATCACTTGGCCCATTTGAGACTCTAGGAAGCTGTCCGAGGCAACCATCTTCTCAAAGACCGGCGACCACAACGACAGCAGGGAAGCCCAGACCTTGAATTCAGTGCGCTTCACCTCCATCTCAGATGCAAAGCCTGGGTCTTCTTCTGCTCTAGTGGTCTCTGAGCACTCTGCAGCGCCCGTGCCGTTTCCACAGCGTTCCTCGACCACCACCGTGAAATTGCCATCTTTGCCAAAGCATGCTCGCCACATGCCCTTCGCAGGGGCATTTATTGTGACCAGGGCCATGTTGCCCGCTGCGCAGTATTTGACTACTTGGGAAGCTGATATTGTTGCAGGATACTAACAACTTGGGCCACTTTTCCATGCTACCCTCAAAGGGCACTTGTTTTCTGGGATCTTGACCCATACAGGCACTTGAGCCAGCGGGGAGGCGGGCCACCAAGCAATAGCATCTTAAGCCCAGTCCTGACATGTACAGAACCTTGACAAACCGCTGCCCCGCCCTCCACCCAATAATTAAAATGGAACCCCAAAAAAAGGTCGGGTCAAAGACCTCTGTCCATTCAAGAAATGACTCTGTCCATTCAAGAAATCACATAACGAAATGAATCATAACGTGGCCTCGGGACCGTCCATGTTTGGCCTGGGCGCAAAGCTTCGTGGGGTCAAGGGTGCAGGTGTAGGGTTTGGGGCTTAAGAACTTTGTGGCTTGGGGATTCGGCAGGGAGCATATGTACTCCAGGGGTATATACAGCTGGGCTTCAATTGGAAGGTATAGTTCTAGGGTCAAGGTTCGAAGCAGTACATGGTGAGGACAGCAGGGCCACACAGAAAGGTCTGCAGCCATCAGTCCTAGCTCTGAGGCTCTAAGGCTTCAGGTTTGGGGGCGTAAGGTGTTCTGACAAGCTCAGGCTTGCATTCAGGCTCAATTTGTTCATCTCAAGCTGCAAACTCTGAAGAAAAATGCCCAGGCCCATGCTCATAGCTTGGGGAAGGGCTATAGAATCTGACGCGCCTGATGTAGGGGCCGCAAAGTCAGACCCAGGGCTTGGGGCGGAATAGTACAAGGAATTAAGCTTACTGAGGGCTAGTAGGGAACAAGGGAAGATGTTGTGTAAGGGCTTTAGCTGTATTGTGTTTCCTGATTCCCCACTCACCACTCGTAAGTAGAGCCTGGGGGTTAAAGAATAGGATGGGATCACCTTACCGATTACGGCTCCCCCGGGCAGATTCGGACGGGGAGACCTATATGGTGGTTTCGAAAATGACTGACCCCGACTTGGGAGTTCCGACACTGGAGAATCCATCGGGGGAGAAAGTGGGTGAAGTGAAAATACTAGACTAGGGTTTCCCTCTTTATGGAAACCCACCAGCCCCATATGAGCTTTTGTCTAAACTCCTAGTATCCCCCTTACTAGCGCCCATAATTGTCCCCTATATACCTCCTCTTTAAGGAGTTTAGACTAAAGCTCATGTGTGTCGTGGAATCTTTCCCCAATACCACAAGTCTCCCCTCACTGTAAGCTTTGTTTGTCGCGGGCAAGGAATCTGTCAACTCTTCGCCTTGGATGTCTCATTACTTCGGGGATAAGAACGTGTATGGGAAAAACCGATTAGGGTTTAGGGGTTAGGAATTAGGGTTTAAACCTTACGGTTTAGGGTTCCCTCTCACATAATGGTAGCCTGTGCAAGAACAGTTACCATATTAGACCAAACTTAATACACTGTGTCGTTGCCGGCTTAATCACGAATCCCTCTACATCAAAACGAACTCGGAACATAGAAACCTCTAGCAGTTCCAACAACCGCAGTCCCACCCCAGAATACTACCCTGGGATCCCCACAGAGCTTCGAGCCGTGAACGCCAAACTTAAAAGCTCAAAAGGTCCCCGAGTTCTTTGAAACCTCCATATGTGAGTCTCTCAAAAAACAGGCCCTGCAGGGACTGTCAGGACATCTAAGAGTGATTGTATGGGAATTATGGAGCGTCCTTAGTAAGCATGTTATAAAAACTATGTTGGGACATACCCTTTACTTTCATTAGTGCGAAAGACTCATGAATCTGAGTACATGGCCTGCGCATGCTGGTCTGCATAGCTCTCAAGGGCCGCCTGGCAACTAAAGGTACATTGGATAAAGGGGTTGAGTTAGGGTCTAGGGTTTGGGGTGAGTTGGGTTTAGGGAAAGAGGGTTCAGGGCTTTAATCCCAGAGTTTAGAGCTATGATCAGGTTTCATGCTGACGGCATGATGATGGTTTTTTGCGGAAGGATTGGCCGCGGATAAGGCGCTGTAGGGTCACCTTCACCCAAGAATGCATTCCCCTCTGTGCAGCACCCAAATCGAACTCTGAACCCATTTAGCACAAGGGGAGGGGATGAATGCTTCGCTCAGCCATCAGAAAAGTACGCAAGTACGCAAAACTATGTGCCCTCTTGCTGGTGTCCTCAAACTATGACTGTATAGTTTAGGTGCAAGAAACAATGAGACCTTACATGGAGAAATGCATACAGAAGATTGAGCGCCTCAACAGATCAGGCCCTCCTGCTGCTCATCAACTCGGGCGGTTAGTAGCTACGGAAGGAATAAAACACAGGAACTATCAGATTAGATAGAGATTACTATAAGCGTCTCTTTCCATATTCCCTACATCCAAGGCCTAGGACTACTTCTTCCGTTTCCCTGCCCGTGACTGCAATGAAGTAGCCTCAAGCTTGACGGCGCAGCAGGCCCATGATGTGCCAAAAATTGACACTATGCACTACGCTGCCCAATGCTTTCTAGCACACCCTAGACCATAAACCCTACACAATGAAAGTATGCGCTCCCTAGGCCGTTTTCTGAGTACTTTATGGGCTTTCCAACCTGTAGGGGCCATGATTCCCGTAGGGGCTTGAAAGGGGCGTGCTGAAGAATTTCAAGAAGGATTGCGTGGGAAATCAAGAAGCCCCACAAGAAGGACCCCGTGATAGCAAATTGAGATCATAGGTTGCTTTAGAGACAGGGATTACTAAACAAGCCTCAATAAAATTGGGGCTTCAGGCCTGCACCCCATGTCTACCAAGCCCGCCAGTGACCCTAAACCCTAAGACCTACACAGGCGGAGTTGGGAATGAGTTTGCAGGCTTATAGGGGCAGTCCCACCTCAACATGAGGAAGCAGACGTTAAACAGAACACTTCAAGACCCTAAACCCTAAACCCTAAACCCTAGACCCTAAACCCTTGTGTACCCCTAGTTTTGTTCCATCCTCGGCCCACGAGCTGGCGCGTGCGCGCCTGTGAGAATGAACATGGAACCCCGTGTGGGCCCTTTTGCAACGACACCTTTGGGGGTTCCATGTTTTTTTAACTGGCCCTCGGTTAGTTAGGAATGAAGGAATGGATTCTTATAGTAGTCCCTCTAGACCCCATTATAATAATTTCCGTTTTCTTTTCCATTCCTCCATTCCCAGCTAGCCAAAAGCCAGTTAAAGGACGGCAACAGCCAGCTCATGCTTGGCTGATGCAGGAGACCTAACAGGTCATTTCGGTGTCGGATGCTGAGACCCCATGATCTCCTTGACATACTCCTCCTCAATGATTGGCTGCCTGTACAACTGGTATATTATAGTACATATATTATATTATAGTAGTATAGTACAGTATACTATGTTATAGGATATTATATTATAGTATATCATAGTATGTTATAGTATATAATATCATATTACAGTATATCATGGTATACTATGATTTAGTATACTCCTCAATGATTGGCTGCCTGTATAACTTGAAGTCGTAGATGTCACCACCAGCACGTGCTGCGGAGGTGTGAACATGGAGGTGGCTTCTGATGTCCTTGTAGTTGAAGCCGGTGCATGTCTTGACTAGCTTGCCATCCTTGAACAGATATGAAAGTCTCCAGAATCCTACAGTAGCGCTTGCTGTACTGATCGCCCAGTACTGTTATTCACGATATCAAGCAATGAAGGTACCACCCTAAGCCCATACTTTGGAGCGTTTGCTCACCCAAAGAAAATGCTGGAAAATGCTTCTCATCCAAATTAAGCTTCTCCCAATGATCAAAAGCAAAAGCCACATGAACCCACGATCCTTCTGGGGCATCCAAATCGCCGCCCTCACAACGTTCCTGCCCCATCCAAAGGTAGATGCCAACACCTCTCCACGGATGTCAAATGCAAAAAAAGGTTTAGCAAGGCATTGCAATTCACAATTCTTCTTTCTCAACATGAGGGTTTGCCATAAATACACAAACCCTATGACAAGGACATTGACAAGGACTGCTAAAAACAATCAAGAATCTTGGCAAATTTACCAGCTTGGGCTCTGAACTCCCAAAACCCTACGCAAACCAGCAAACCTAAACCGAGGGGTTTAGGGACCCATTGCGGCAACATTGGGTTATATGAGGATAATGGAAAGGAAAATGGAAACTATAGGGATTATAGAGGTGTATATATATATATAGACCTCCAGCATGCCACCTGTTCGTAGCCCACCACCAATCGTGCCCTTGGACTCAGTTGCACTCTTGTCCTCGTTCCAGGTCAAGATTGGATGCTCACCCGATAGCTTCCTGTGTTTGTTTTTCCGGGGTTTTAGGGTTTAGGCTTTCAGAAACACATGGGTCAGGACTTCAACCCACCCACAACAATAGCTGTAAGATAGGACTTTACTAGGACGCAGAACTGTCCATTCAGGTGAAAAAGAGCAACTTGAAATATGGGGCTTGGGATGGGCGCTCTCAAAACAATGACAGAAGGCCCTTTTAACAATCTGAACCGTCACATTTGAATCAATCCCCAGAAACTAAAGAATTAAGGGAGGGTAAGGAGGGAGGGCGGTCCCCGAGGCTAGAGAGGGTCCCGCATTACCCCTAAAGTTCGCACGGGCACCCATAACCCCAAACCCTTTACCCTATCATCCCCCTTATAGATAGAATATGGGGTATATGGGGATCTTATTATGATATACCCAAAGCCATATTCTATCTGCTTAAGGGGGACTATAAACCCCAAGCTGACAAATCCCACCCGGCTTCGACTTCACGTGCACCCACGCCATGGCAGTGAGGGAAACGAGATAAAGCCCAGGCCTTTTTCCTCTCTCTCCATGGTCTTGGAGCTCCTTCCTGGGTGGTTTCAGGAGTTTTCAGGAGTTTTCAGGGGTTTCAGGGTTTAGGGGGTTTGGGGGGTTTGGGGGGTTTGGGGTTTATAGGGGTTTAGGGGTTTTAGGGGTTTGGGGGTTTGGGGGTTACAGGGGTTTAGGGGTTTAGGGGTATTAGGGGCCTCAAGGGGGTTTAGGGCTTTAGGGTTTAGGTGTTTAGGGTTTAGCGGTTTCAGGGTTTAGGGTTTAGATGTTCAGGATTTAGGGTTCGGTGGCTTGGGGCTTGGGATGTGCTTATGGGGCATCTAAAGGAACCGAACAGGAAACTAGGATTTGATGGGATCCATATTTAGGGTTGAAGGTTTGCACGCCTAGGTTTGAGGCGATGAGGGGCCAGAGGGCAAGGAGGCTCTATGGTTGGTTCCCCAAGCAGTATTGCCACAAAACTGACTTGTCCCCATACGCATCAAGAAGAACAAGCTAGCAAACTGTCCGGTCAATACCTAAAGCAAAGCCCTGCTTCTTGTCGTAGGACAAGTACTCGACTCCGCGATGTGGATAACGGGGGTAGCGCATCTCAGAAATGATCTCCTGAAGCATTAGTCGAGCTGGAAGATTCTGTGGGTAGGAATGCGGCCGCTTTGGGACACGTAACTTAGAGATTGCCACTCCGTAACTGTACTCTGTCACCAGCGCAGGAATGCTTCAGCGCGGTCCACAACATATTTGAGGACCAGCATATGACAGCTATCTAATGAGTATAACTAAACGAATTTGATTGACACCTGTCGAGGCTCCTATTCATCTGGCCTTTGGTTAGCTGGGAAAGAAGGAATGGATCCTTATGGTAGTCCTTATTTTACCCGTTATTATAGTTTCCATTGTCTTTTCCATTCCTTCATCAGCTAACCAAAGGCCAGTCATTGCACCCACCTGGCCTCTGGCCTCTGATGGCAAGGTAGCTCTTAGCTGTGCGCGTACTTTGCAGGTTGTGGGATGGAGAGGCCCGAATAAGGTCGGCTAAGCTTGGTAGTTTGTAGTCAATAAATATGCTAGCATCATGAGCGGATGTCATTCGTGAATATTTGGGTTTCTACATGACATTCTTCACTCCAAACCCTTGCCAATGTGCGGACGGTAGAGGGTTGATTGACAAGAGGAAGGGTTGCATGGTAGAGCAGAAGTTTACGTGTAGACTACCTGAGAGTTATACTGGGGTTCTTTGATGCTCTCTCAAACTGCTCCTCCTGAGATTTGAACTCATCCTTGAAGATTTTGACATCGTAGACGTCACCTGGGGACTGCATGTGCTAAAGTCGGGGGGATATACATGCTCTACTGTGCCCTAGAAACACCGCTATCCCCTAAACACTAATAATGTTGGACGCAGCCCACCGTTGGCTTCTCTTGAAGCAGTAACAACGAAAAAATCGTCCATGTTGTCGCCAGGAAAGACGTCGCTGCATGAATGAATTAGTCTTCCTTCCCTGTACCTTTATTGTGTAAGTTTTGCAAAGTTCAGGACATGGGCATAAATTTTGCCGTCTTAAGAAAATTCTTCATTGCGTCATAGGATTTTAGGACACGGAAAAGAAGAATGGTCTTCTGCAGACGCACCAGGCACATGAGCACCTTGCCCGTAGTTGGGTCGACGGCGAATGCCTCATGTACCCACATGCTGTCCCAGGAGTCGTAGTATGTCCAGTGACTGCATCCCCGGCACATTTTCTTCCCGAAAGAAGCAAAGCTGCCATAGCCTAGGTTTAGGGTTCAGGGCTTTGGGGCTATGACAGATTTGCAAGCTCTTAGAAAATTCGATTTCTCCAGTTCTCTCACTCTGAAAAGACTGTATGCGAATATGAGGAAAACTGAAGATGATGCAAGCCAAAAGCCTGTAACCCACTAATCCACTAGCCCTAGACCCTATAAACCAACCTATACCCTGAAATCCGTAAGCCGATACCCAATAGCTGCGAGGTCTAAACACAAAAAAATTGTCCGATCATAAGCCTTGAGCCCTAAGCCTCAAGGCCTGAACCTGACATACTGACCGCTAACCTGCCCCAACTAACATGGAACCCTATATCGAACCCTGAATCGTCGATCGTGGATAGCAGTCTACAGAAGCCCTAAATTGTAGTTTCCATTTTCTTTTGAATTATCTCAATACAACCCCAAATATATCCCTAATATAACCCCCAAAAATAAGGGATTATTAAACACCGCAAGATGCCCTGCATGAAGCCGATCCCGGTGCCGGTTCTGCCATCCTCCCGATCGCTCATGGACAAGATCCTTGCTTCTCATCAGGGTTCAGGGCCCAGTAGGGAATGAAGGAATTGATCTCCGCAATCGCCTATGTTTACGCGTGCAATTTACGCCCCAAACCTTTATGTCCTACACACCAAAGGCGAGAAGCGCGTTTCCATGACTTCCCTGACCACGGAACTTCACCCAAGCCATGGCGGTGAAGGGCTTCTTCCTGGGCTGCTGCTAAGGGATCATTTACCATGCTTTCCTTGTAATGAACTATATGCTAGCTCAGTTGGAGTTCCTTAACATCAACACAGCTTCATGAGGCCCAGCTGACCCATTGTGCCCCAAAGTTTGGTGCCGCTGCCGTCCCAGGGCACGTAGTCGGTCTTCAATGTGCTTGTCTCATTGGTCTTGATGCACCGAGGCCCAATTCCCAAGCAAGCACCCCCGCTGACCGCGCACTCAACAGCGTAGTGGAATGAGAAAATGCTTTGCCAACACCTGTTTGCAAGTGCTGAGCTAAACATGTAAGAACCTATGCACGACATCATGACTGGTTCCTTATTGGGGTAGCATTAAGCATGATGGCTTCATATTCCTGATTGGGTCTTGAGTGCAATAGAGTTAGAAGCCAAGCAACATCCGCTTGCTCGTCAGGCTTAGCAAGTTTTGGCCCTAATCCTTCTACCCACCCCAAAATCGCATTGCCCCTAGGACAGTAGTCCATACAAAGCCACTTTGGGGGTTTCTGCGGTAATTTGAAGGAGCACCTGCTACCGTATCAAGTTTAGGCTCCTTGTGCTGAAGCTACCCAGTGTCCAAACAAGGTCTGGCAGAACCTGTCACGGAAATCAGGTTGCTTCTCATGAGTCTTCTTACAATCGGCCTTGCTGCCAGCTTGCCGCCCGCAGGTCTTGTCGAGAATAAAGGACATGATGTACAAAGCAACATATTGAGGAATCGGGGAGTGGATCCTTATACCAATCACTAATCATGATACCGATATTCAATCTACCATCCCGCTTGCGTGAAAACCAGTAAGAAATTCGAATTCCAATGAACTGCCACATGGCTGCCAAGCGGCATTCCTTGACCGGGATGCTCTCGCAATCCTTAGGTTTGCCACAAGGCTCCATCCGTCAATGATATATCACCAGGATGATCTCTCGCTTTCTTGGTTCTGAAGCCGCATGAATTAGAACCCTAGCCCGAATCAACAGGACCTCAAGAAGGGCGGCTTGGGGTTTAGTAGGGCCAGAGCATCCATGCCCGAACCATAATAACGGTCGTGTTCCCAGAGCATACGGTCCCCAGAGCATCCATGCCCAACCATAATAACGGTTGTGTTCCCAGAGCATACGATAACCAGAGCATTCATGCCCAAACCACAATAATGTTCGTCTTCCCGGTGCATCCAGTAACCAGAGCATCCTTTCTCAAACCATAACAACGTTCCTGTTCCCACAGCATACGATAACCAGGGCATTCATGCCCAAACCATAATAACGCTCGTGTTCCGAGTGCGTCCGATAACCAGAGCATCCATGCTCAAACCATAATAACGTTCGTGTTCCCAGACCGTACCGTAACCAGAACATCCATGCTCAAACCATAATGACGCTCGTGTTCCGAGATTTCCGAGTGCATCCGATAACCGATAACCCGAGCATCCATGCCCAAACCATAATCAGATGCTGTGTGGCAACAGATCAAGTCGTGGGTGCCCAATGGTTCGCGCATGTTTGCGCTCTGTCAAGCGCAGTGTTGCTGCAGCATGTGCGGCAGTGGCAGTGCGATTTGAGAATCGTCGCCAGCTTTTGCTCGCCACAGGCAAAGCCCTGAAGCAAAAAGCGCGGCTCGGACACGAGCTGGTCAAAAGCAAACGTCTGCAATCTCAGCCCGAAATCCTTCCAAGGTACTCCAGAAAGCCGGCACGATTTTGCCGTCACCACAGTTTCGCGCAAACCCAAAACTAAAACTCAAAAAAAACGCGACACACTTTTCTAGGATCCGTCTCAAATTTGACGAGCCTCGTAGCACTTCCAGTACCGCGGCCTGATTATGAGGGTGCGGTTCGCCCCCCGTGGGGTTGTTTGATGGCTCGCCGGCACGGGGCCTCGTCTTTATGTGTCCCATATTGCACAGGTTCCTTACCTGCAGGACTGCAGGACCCCAAGACGGCTGGTTCGTCTCAGCTTCTTGCTGGAGCTGCCAAAGTACGTGTATCCCAACAGGGCCAGGGCCAGGCCCTTTAATTGAGCTTACGTAGGAATGCTTATGCCTAATTAAGGTTAATTAAGGGGGAGCCTAGGGGCGCCTGCTGCCGGCACGACAGGCATTGCCTGAAAGCTCCAGCCAGCAACCACACCGAGCCAGCGGAGCACTGCCAGACAGCAGCCCTACTTTCCGTTGATGGCCTTTGATTATTGTGACCACAAAGACTCGAGCCATATTGTAGGTACACCGCTCATGAAACTCTATATGGTTTGTAAGGCATTCACTTCTGCATCTACCTGGCCACGGGCTATATGCCATATATTGCCTACTGCCTATCAACATAAATTTCGCGTACGAACTATCTTTGGGCTCCGCTAACACCATTGCGGTTATGTGGGGTTATATAGGGGTCATATAGGGATAATGGAAAAGAAGATGGGAACTACTATAGAATCTTGGGATTATGTAGGTGCTATGTGTATATATATATATACTTGCAGATGAGGGACGGTCTGAGCGTTTAACCATGGCCTCTAGCATGGGCCCTCAATCCTATGGTGGGCTGTCTAGGGTAAGTTTAGTAGATGCCTTGTCTGTACCCTTGAGGCACCATAGAATTCCCCCCAAACAGGTCAAGGAAGCCAAGACAGAGCCTCATACTTCGAACTTTGGACCAAGAATCAGTGTGCTCCACCATGCCGTCTTTGCACGGCTTCAGGTCCTGGACTTTCCAAGAGTTTTGGATTCAGGGGCCTAAATGATTGGAACACTGCTTCGTGGTGCGTTCTTACAGCAAATAGTAGCAGTCGTACCAAAGTTGTCATTATGTAGGGGTAGAAGCAGATGTACTATTATCCATAACCCTGGTAGAATGCTTACTTTGGGAATAACAGACCATCATCTGGACAGATGTCGTCAATGAGTTTGTAGTAGCATCCCTGAACACGGTGCAGTTCAGGGTATAGGGTTTAGGGTATAGGCTATAGGGTATAGGGTTTAGGGTTTAGGGTATAGGGTAGAGAGTTTAGGTTTTTTTTTAATCTCGGACTTTTATGCCTGCACTCGGTGCAAGGGGAAAATCAGGGTTTAGGGCTTAGGGTCTAGGATTTAGGGATTAGGGTTTGGGGTATAGGGTTTAGGGTTCAGAGTGTAGGGTACAGGGTTTAGGGCATAGGGTTTGGGATACATTGTGATGAGCCCTTACACAGCGAAGCCTAGCCACCCCGGTGCACATCCTAGCCACTCCTTCCTGAAGAGCCGACCTAAAGCCCACTTACCCTAAACCTCTAAAACCCTAAGCCATAAAATCCCAAAATCATAAACCCAAAACCCCAGGCCCTCATACCTCGAATCCAATGCATTTGTGCTTGGTGCGTTGGTTGCTGCGCCCTTGCCTAACTCGAGGGCTATATTGGGGATATATTGGGATGACGCAAAGTAAAATGGAAACTACTATTTAGGGTTTAGGGTTTAAGGTCCCCCTTACATAGATAGAAGATGGGTCTGCTGTGAGCAGGCATACATCCTAGGTCCTCATGTGGGCCGACAGCGTCATCGTGAATCTTCAGCGCCAAGCTGGCGACAAAGCTCCTTTTTTGGGCTGCTGAAAATACAGGGCTGAGGGTAAGGGATCAGGGTTTTTGGGGCTATGGCTTTAGGGCTTATGCTGTGGGTGTTTCAGGGGTTAGGCTTTAGGGTTTTGGGGTTGTTTGATGCAGGTTTGTTTGGATTCAGGGCTGGGGGCTGATTGCTTACGTGATCCCGGAGCATCCAGGGTAATGAGCAATCACGGGGATTCTACTTTTGGTCGGGCTTAAGGATGTTGTTTTCAGAGGCTTTGGACATCCAAAGACGTCACATCATCCCCCTTCCATACAAATTCCCCCCCCCTCGGCTCCAAATAAGAAGTATTCCCCGCATTAATGTATGCTACTAATTATATGGGGAGTCTTGGTAAGTAGGGGCGCGAGGGCCGAGTTCTTCTTAGGGCCATGGAAGACTAAGAAAGGAAAAACGTACTGAAGCTAAACCCAAGCTCAAGAAAAGCAGCTTCGTCAGCTTCATTGTAGTAGTGCTTTGTCACTGAACGTGACTGACCGAATACTGAGCCCGAGGCTGCAGTAGCAGCAAAGAGAAGCAGGGTTTGGGGCCTATAGGGTTTGAGGTTTATAAGGTTTACGGTTTAGGGTTTATAGGGTTTGAGGCTTATAGGGTTTAAGGTTTATAGGGTTTAGGGCTCAAACTATGCTCTCCCAAACTAACGTGGAACCAAGGGGCCCTATAAAGACTACGCTATATCAAAACAAAAAGGGTGCTTATGGGGTTCCATGTCCGTTTGGGAGGCAGGGCGCCCATCCATACTTCAAAGAAACATATCTCTTACTGAGGAGGAGGAGGAGGAGGAGGAAAGAGCAGCGGCCATAAGAACATGACATCAAGCTGATTGAAAATTAATGTGGGTGAGGCAACTGGTCCCAGAAAGGGATGCACGCTTGTGATTAAAAAGCTTGGAGCACCAAACGGTCCCTGTAGCCAACACCTAAACCCTACCTCTAGTCATGATCCCATACTAAACCCTAAATCCTGTACCCTAAACCCTACCTAAAGAGCTTGGGAGTTGCCTAGACCTGCTGGCAGATTCAGCCTATGCTATGCTTACCAAAATAACAGGTCTTTTCCGCGGGGTTGCAGAGTAAGGGTTTGGGTTTTGGGGGTTGGGGTAAGGACTATGCTCTTTTGGAGGGGATGGATATAGGAAGGCAAAAAGCTCGAAAATGACCAGAAATCTAACAGAATTGCTGGATGTCATCACCCAAAACCCTCTTCCATCCGTTTGGATCCTGCGTTCAGCTCTGAGAACCCTGCTCAATGATTCTGGGTCATACGGATTGTAGTATTTTGGTGTCTATATTTAATCCCCCTACATTCCCGCTTGGGACAGAGCCTGCTCTGGCAAGTGTAGTTGTGACTACCCTACTTGGTCGTATTCTTAGCAGGAAATGAAGGAATACAGTCCCTATATAATGCCCGGTATGCTATATTCCCTTGTTCCCTACTAACCCCAAGTATGTGGCATTTCGCCCAGCCATTGTCTGGCTAGCTCAGCCAAACCTTGCCCAGGAAATGCCGGAAGCAATCCACACGCCTGCAGGCATCATTGCCCCTCGGCCGCTCATCGAAGCTCACACAAATGAGTAATGTTTTTTTGGTGGTTGAACCTAGTAAGATAATATTCCTTATATCAAATACTATACCCGAGAAGGAGGATAAAATCTTACTCTATATTGGGTACCATAGTACCCCAAAATTA